ATTCAATCCTTTAAACGAGCAACTTTATCTAAAAGCTAGTCGTCTGCAATATGCAGCACTCCGAGCGGTTACGGGTTTAATAATAACTACCCCTACCAATGTTCTATTAGACATTAACGGAGAATATCCGCTCGAAGCATGCTGGTTCAATCTTACTCTAAAATTTCTTCCTAAAATCAAGGCTAGACGATCGCATCCATTAAATCTAATTATTACGGATATTTCCATCCGACCTGAAATAGAGAAAAACAATATATGCTATCTGATTGATACTTATCTCGCTCACGCGGACCTTTTTGAGCAAGTCTCGCCTTTCCAATTGCCTGGATACCTTGAATTTCCATACAAAAACATACACTTTGATCCAAAAATCAATACTGACTTGGGTTCCCAAGTTGCAGCTATTACTAACTCTGACATCAATGACTCCTTTAATAACCTCATCTCTCCCTTCGGATTCGAGGTCACGTACTACACAGATGGCTCTCGATCAAAGTCTGGCAATAAGTCTGGCTATGCGGTATTCTCTCCGGAGTCTGGACTTGAATAGATTGAAAGAATCAACAATTATTGCACAATCTTTGAGGCTAAAGCGTCGGCAATTCAATACGCGATCAACACTATCCTTAATAATAAAAAATCAGCGATCTTCTCCGACTCGCTGAGCGTTTTATTCAGCCTCTCTAACCCGATTGCTTCTGGCATATCACATCATGGAATCTCTCGAATTAGGAGTTCCCTCTATCAATGTTCCACTCAATCATTGGAGATCCACATTATCTGGATACCCAGTCATAAAGGCATTTCCGGTAATGAAATAGCCGATTCAATGGCCAAGGAATCTTTACACCGTTCCGATCCTTTTTTTTGAGCAAGTGTCACTATACAAACCTGTACTCTAGATTCAGAAACCTATCTAAAACCAGAGCTTCACAAATCCTTAGAACAGAAAGCCTTCTGAAAGGAACGAGATATTTCAACCATATACACGACATACTCTCTCCTCCTTGGTATACCGATAAAAAGATCGAGAAAACATCCCTAGATCCATCATTACACTGATATCAAGACTGAGAACCAATCATACGGGAACGATGGGCCATCTCTGGGAAAAAAACATAACAGCTTCTTGAGAGTGCCCTTGCGGACACTCCTTTCAAGATCTAAATCATGTCTTCTTAAGTTGTCCAAATACTCAAGACAACTCTAATCGGCTCATCTCTGGCTTGAAAAGAATCAATCCCAACATCACACTGGACACACAGACATTGGCCTTCACCAAAGACACTAGAATATATCGCCTCCTATCCAACTTCATCAAGGACAGCAACTTATGCATATGAATAACTGATCTCCAGTTGAATCGAGTTAATGGCGTATAGACAAATCCGAGTGGAAGTCTCTTAACCAATCTAAGAAGAAGAAGAAGACCGTAAAGCGATACGTTAGAAGAACAAGGACAGCACGCGATTGTCGCTTCTTGTCTAGATTTATCTCTCAACGATCGCATCCGTGTGCTCAACGTATCGGTGTTTATGCCTTCACGGATACCACACACATACGCGATGAAAAAGAGACAAAGACGGCGCGATCATCTCTCTTTGTCAAGCGATCAGTGTACTACCACTATCGAAAAGATCGAAAAGTGGATGTAGCACGGATATGAACCAAATGACCGACAGTATCGAAAAGTGGATGTAGCACGGACATGAAAGCGGGCCCCTTCATCTGCAAATCTATCCGAATACTTAGAATTCCAAAAATCTTCATCAAAGTTCTTTGCCAAAAAGAAGAAACTTGCCTTTCGAAAATTCTGTTCCTCATTGGATATCAATACTCCTATATCGACTGTTTGGAGATATATTAGGGCTTTTACAAATAGAAACACAAATAATTCCCCACATTCGCTCATTTCTGAAAATGCTTTTAATGAAGCCTTCAATAAGTTATCTCCTCCCACCCTCACCCCCGTGCCTGACACTCGATACATTCTCTCATTAATCCACAACGTATATGCTAATATCGACAAAGAGATTCTCCTCACCCCTTTTTCTAAACAAGGATATAGGGAAGCCATTGCTAAACTAAAAATCAGATCATCTTTGGGCCCCGATCTAATCTCGAATAAGATAATAAAAAAGTTCCCTGAAGAACTTCACCTTTTTATTTTAGAGATATTCAACTTAATCTTTAATAAAAGCACATACCCTCAGCAGTGGTCTGACTATTTTGTCATCTTTATTCCTATCTTTAAGCCAGGCCGTAGGGATTCCCTGAGACCCATATCACTCGCCAATAACCTCTTCAAAATATTCGAGAAACTGATTCACAGAAGAATCGTCTGGTGGGCGGAAAATAGCTCAATACTTTGTAACACTCAGTTCGGTTTCAAAAAGGGACTATCTTGTATTGATAGTATCACCACACTCACTACGAGCATTCAAATTGCTAACAAGGCCCAAAAATACACAGGCGTCACATTCCTGGATTTGGTGGGAGCTTTCGACAGGATCAGATCAGAGATCCTTATAATCCTCCTTGATAAATACGGCCTTCCCCCAAAGATACTAAGATTCATTGCAACTCTTGTCACCCGTAGAAAACTTATCGGGTTTGCCGCTGGCATTAATTTACAGAACCGCACTACTACTATCGGCCTACCCCAGGGCTCTATATTAAGTCCTATATTATTTAACTTGTACATAGCTCTCTCTCACACCGTAATACCTGACTCTGTGAAAATATTTTGCTATGCAGACAATATCGCAATTTATTGCTCTGATTAGCATCTGGATTATATCAAAAATCAACTAAATATTGCACTTGACAATATGTACCAGTTCTTTACAGATCTCGGCCTTGAAATCTCTCCTTCCAAATCCAGTTTTACGATCTTTTCTTCTCTCAAACCTCGTAATCTGGTAAACCCCATATTATGGTAAACAAACATAAATTTACTTTACAGATCGGCAGCGGGAATATCCCTTTCTCTCCTGTATCTAGATTTCTGGGCGTTATGCTGGACTCGGAACTTAACTGGAAGGCACACATTAACCATCTGAGAAACCGCATAATACCTAGAATCAATATCCTAAAAGTAATAACAGGGATTCGCTGGGGCGCTCACCCCTCGAACTTGATCACTATCTATAAAGGATATATCAGGCTATTGCTTGATTGGGGATGCCAAGCATTCAATCCTTTAAACGAGCAACTTTATCTAAAAGCTAGTCGTCTGCAATATGCAGCACTCCGAGCGGTTACGGGTTTAATAATAACTACCCCTACCAATGTTCTATTAGACATTAACGGAGAATATCCGCTCGAAGCATGCTGGTTCAATCTTACTCTAAAATTTCTTCCTAAAATCAAGGCTAGACGATCGCATCCATTAAATCTAATTATTACGGATATTTCCATCCGACCTGAAATAGAGAAAAACAATATATGCTATCTGATTGATACTTATCTTGCTCACGCGGACCTTTTTGAGCAAGTCTCGCCTTTCCAATTGCCTGGATACCTTGAATTTCCATACAAAAACATACACTTTGATCCAAAAATCAATACTGACTTGGGTTCCCAAGTTGCAGCTATTACTAACTCTGATATCAATGACTCCTTTAATAACCTCATCTCTCCCTTCGGATTCGAGGTCACGTACTACACAGATGGCTCTCGATCAAAGTCTGGCAATAAGTCTGGCTATGCGGTATTCTCTCCGGAGTCTGGACTTGAATAGATTGAAAGAATCAACAATTATTGCACAATCTTTGAGGCTAAAGCGTCGGCAATTCAATACGCGATCAACACTATCCTTAATAATAAAAAATCAGCGATCTTCTCCGACTCGCTGAGCGTTTTATTCAGCCTCTCTAACCCGATTGCTTCTGGCATATCACATCATGGAATCTCTCGAATTAGGAGTTCCCTCTATCAATGTTCCACTCAATCATTGGAGATCCACATTATCTGGATACCCAGTCATAAAGGCATTTCCGGTAATGAAATAGCCGATTCAATGGCCAAGGAATCTTTGCACCGTCCCGATCCTTTTCTTTTGAGCAAGTGTCACTATACAAACCTGTACTCTAGATTCAAAAACCTATCTAAAACCAGAGCTTCACAAATCCTTAGAACAGAAAGCCTTCTGAAAGGAACGAGATATTTCAACCATATACACGACATACTCTCTCCTCCTTGGTATACCGATAAAAAGATCGAGAAAACATCCCTAGATCCATCATTACACTGATATCAAGACTGAGAACCAATCATACGGGAACGATGGGCCATCTCTGGGAAAAAAACATAACAGCTTCTTCAGAGTGTCCTTGCGAACACTCCTTTCAAGATCTAAATCATGTCTTCTTCAGTTGTCCAAATACTCAAGACAACTCTAATCGGCTCATCTCTGGCTTGAAAAGAATCAATCCCAACATCACACTGGACACACAGACATTGGCCTTCACCAAAGACACTAGAATATATCGCCTCCTATCCAACTTCATCAAGGACAGCAACTTATGCATATGAATAACTGATCTCCAGTTGAATCGAGTTAATGGCGTATAGACAAATCCGAGTGGAAGTCTCTTAACCAATCTAAGAAGAAGAAGAAGACCGTAAAGCGATACGTTAGAAGAACAAGGACAGCACGCGATTGTCGCTTCTTGTCTAGATTTATCTCTCAACGATCGCATCCGTGTGCTCAACGTATCGGTGTTTATGCCTTCACGGATACTACACACATACACGATGAAAGAGAGACAAAGACGGCGCAATCATCTCTCTTTGTCAAACGATCAGTGTATTAATGCACGGCGCTGTTCTACGGCCTAGAAAAAGCGTCCAACGAAAATCGCCGGCATTGCCTCTCTCAACTAGGCCAATAGCGACTGCGCACATCGATTCTTTGCATTGCATTATGGGTCGCGACTAGTCTAGTTCAGTGCACTGTGAACTCAGTGCAGCTATAAAGAAATCTTATATAAACAATTCAAATGTGATGAATAAACCGAAATATATAAATCTTATTTATGCATATTTTTATCTCCTAACCTTGCGAGAATACACAAATAAGTACATATGTATGTATATACATACATATATATACGTACATAAAAAGGTTTTTTATAATCTCTCAGTAGATACATCATTGTCAAAGTTCTTTTTCTGCATAAATTCTTCCAAAGTTCACAATACGATGACTTTGGCCAACTGGTGATGATGAAACAGGCACGATCATCGTACTAGATATTATGACAGATGTGAGAGAAACGCAAAATAAAATTAACAAGATTTCTGCATTCAATTTGCTGTACATTATACAAGATTGCTTTGGACTATCCTATATCGTGTTATAAGAAAATAGAAAGATAGTCTTTATTCAAATTATTTGTCCTTTTGCTTTTATTTAATGTTATTTGTGCAATTGTGAGTTCAAATAGCTCTTTTGGGAGAAATGGATATTATTGTAAGGCTAAATGAGCAAACGGCAGGCAGGGATAAAATAATAAGGTATTTATATTATTTATCAGAATATATAATTTCCGTGATATAATATATTGTTTAAACATGCAACACATGATACAAAATTTATTCTCTCTCTTCTCAAGTTTAATTTATCAAAAACTTTTCCTTTTTCCAACTATTCATAGCTGTTATTGCATGTGTTTCAATATTTTTGCTAACAAAACATTAACTTCAAATTTATTAAAAAAAAATATATCCTTAAAATTAAGTGATTGCAAATTATGAGTTATTTTATATACCAGTAATATTATCAGAAAGGATAATGAACATTTTTTTTATATATTAATTGCAGATTATTACAATATGGAAGTCGTGCTTATTGGTACTATGCGCAAAATGCACAAAGCACAAAATTCTCCGCAGAAATTTTGAGGAGTTTGGAATTCACTTTTAGTTCATTTCGAAAATGTATTCAACTTTTTAACTTGTAATATTTCCTTATTATTTACAAAATTCATGTCATATAGCTCTTATTTCTTTCTAGTACTCCGTCTGGGAAGATGCTTAGACACTTTGTATTCGGCTCTAAAAATGATGAAGTATCCCGATCCAACGATCAAGATAACATTAATTATGGCAAAAATAGCAAATGCTTTGTATTTACTGGCAGATCATTTTATTTGGGTGGGCAGAGTAGGAATTTTAAGAGTCAATCTGGAAAAGTGGAATAGAGTTGCAAATAAATATTGGCTAATAACTATTATTATGAGTTTAATGAGAGATTTTTATGAAATTATCAAGATTTTAAAACACGAGAAGATTATATTTAAACAATATCAAATATTGTTCTGTTTAAGAAATCATAAAAAAGTAGTGATGGATACGGTTAAAAATGGATGCGATTTATTTATTCCATTGACAGCATTAGGTATCACAAAATGCACTCCTGGTACAGTAGGTTTACTTGGAATAATTTCATCATTTATTGGTCTTTATACCATTATCAATCCACTTTATAAATTAACTCCATCTTAGGGTAGAATATTTATTAGTATGGTATGTGTGTATATCTTTTGGTTATAGATATAAGTACATATAAGAAGATGGGCTATATGCAATATTCTTATATCAAAACATTAGATGCTTCTATGATTGATCATATGAAAGGTGTACATTGATTATATGTGGTTATTGGGGAAAAAGAGATGGGATGAACATTTTCTTTCTCTTCTTTTTTTAAAATATATATTTATAATCTAAAATTTATTATAATCTAAAATATATATTTAATAATCTACATATAAAAAAAATATCTTATATATTAGGCCTTGCAAGTTTATCAGTGTTCTTTTCTCATCCTCCATTTCCCTCTCCCATTCAACATCAAGCAATCGGCATTACTATAACTCCTTAGAGATGACAACTAATGCACTAACAAATACACATCTATACAATGATATATGGATGAAATTTCAAGATCCACCTTTTATATTTCTTTCTGTCTCATTCAGCGAGATAATGAAGAAAAGAAAGTGCCTTACGCAAAAAAAAGACGAACAGGCCTAATATATTTATCTTATTAAAAAAAACGATATAAAATTTTGTGTGAAAAATAATTGTATATAAAAATATAAATAATGTCGTTTCTCAAGCATTGTCCGTAAGTATGGGTGCTGTTCCCTCTTGCACTAATAATTCGTATTTATTTGAATAATACATCAATGTAATACCCCATTTTGCACAGATCATAGACCATACTGCTGATATGAACGTGCTCTCAGAAATTGGTTGAATGGCTATATGATATAACAGAAAAAAAAATTCTTATGTATTAATACTTCATTATAATTATATCAAATTAAACTTTTTAGCATTTATATACAGAAAACTAAAAATAAATAAGAACTAAATAAATATGTCTCTCTTCTTCAATAAATAAAATAATGTAAAGCAAATGATCTAAAATAATATGCTTACGAATCTTGTAATAAAACGTAAGAAACAAATACCAAATCAGTGCAGTAACGCCAGTTACAGCACTTACAAAGCCAACAACATTTAAATTCCGCAATGTAACTCTAGTGTGCCATCTCTCCAAAGTTTCCTTGCCTCTTACCCATTGTAAGTGAAAACAGACTCCAGCTAAGGCACCTATACATTCCGAAACATAAATTAAATTTTGAAATGTTAAAATTTTGCTTTCTTCATTGCAGCCATATTGAGTTATAACATCAAAAGTGAAAAAAATATGTCTAATACTTTTATGCACTGCATATCAAAGTAGATTAATCTTTGCTTACCATTACACATGTTTGATAAATTGTCAAGATATACATATTGAGAATGCTTTTATTAATTTTATCTTATGTTGGTAAATCAACATATATTTTTTATTTATATATTCTCTTTATATTTCCAGCAAAGACGAAAATTATGATACTTGATCAAAGTTTACATATAGCGAACAAGAAAGAAAATTCTGTCTTTCCTTTTGATATTATATCATATCCAATATAAGTTGCAATAAGGAGTAGAGTTGTATTTTATAAGTACAAAAAACGCAATTTTTAATCTTAATCATTATATAAATTCATTTTGATGTAGCAGAGTTACAAATATATAAGGATATATTTATTTTTATTATTATCATTAACAATAATCTTTCGTCTCTATCTCTTAGAATTTAGCTAAGAAAAAGTGATAGATCTTTGTCCAGCACTTTTGCTTTTATATATTAACGATATCTAATTTTGCTAGTCCAAACAAACTCTAAAACAAAGTGAAATAAATATCCATTCAGAATCCATGCAGTTAATCAGACAGAAAAGAATTTCAGGTATTTATTAAGAAGATCTAATAACGCACTTTAATCTGTAACATATTTTGTTTCCAAACCGAAGAAGCTACACTTTTCTAACCTGCTAGCATCGACCAAAATCCGACATCGTGGTTTCCATAAGCGACAAACAGGACAAAAAACCCTAACAGCCCAATAAATATACCCACAACACTAATCAGCAGATGCACTAAAACGTCGCGTAACATTTTTTTTCGGGTGTCTATCAATTAAGTCGTAACAATAAAGTAATTATATGTATCATGATCAAGTCGAACACAAAGTGCAACGAAGTGCATATGTGCGTATCTACAATTTTCCATTCGCGACTCGCGACGTTATAAATGTGTCTCTTTCTCCTCTCCTCCCTCTCTCTCACTCAATAGGTTTTTTCTTTGTAGCTAAACTTACTGCACTAGTATAAGTACACCAAAAACTAAAAATAAAATAAAGATATATATTTAGCAATTAATGAGAGAGAAGGAGAGGAGAAACAGATAATGCAAAAAATCAGCTATAAAGAACAAACCTGATATCATATAATAGACAAGTGTAAATATATATATCGTCTATTTACACTTGTATATATATATATATATATATATACACACACAGGGTGATTCAGAAGTGATGGTACAAAATGTAATAATGAAATATACACACTAATAGGGACCTTCCCAAAGTTAGCCCCCCCACTTTGACTTTTGGAAATTTTTTTTACCAATTGTTCAATGGTTAATTGCTAATGTTTGGTATCGCATCCAATACGTTTGGTAGTTTCCCGTTTATTTAGAAAGAAATCGTAAACAAATTTTTAACCTTTTCTTAGAACTCCCCCCCCCCCATTTTGACTACTGGGAATTTTTTTTTCATCACTTGTTTGATGATTGATTGGTAACGTTTGCTACCGCATTCAAAATGTTTTTTTGTATAGCTAATAATTTTACATATACAGCCAGATTTTGCAATTCGGCTCTTAAAAATTTATAGCCATATAATAAGGCCCGTTCTACAATAAGCCGTATGTCGTTAGGGCCACCATACAAGCTTTTCCGTAAGTGCCGGTCTACAATAGGTGATTTAAGCCCTAAGCCTTAGTGTCGGTCTACAATAGTGATTTAAGCTCTAAGCATTAAGAAATTGACCAATCACGATCAAGTATGAGGAGAATACTCGACTGTGATTAGTCAATTTCTTAAGTGCCGGTCTACAATAGTGATTTAAGCTCTAAGCCTTAAGAAATTGACCAATCACGATCAAGTATGAGGAGAATACTCGACTGTGATTAGTCAATTTCTTAAGTGCCGGTCTACAATAGTGATTTAAGCTCTAAGCCTTAAGAAATTGAC